CAAACCAACCCTGCAAGAAATATTGAAAGACAGTTTAGATACACAAAGGAAAAAACCACTAAGCAAAGCAAATAATTAAACAGAACAGAAAGATAAAGATGCAACAGCAGAGAGATAACATTCCTACAATTAACCAACATTTCACAGTAATAACCATTAATGTAAATGGTCTCAATGCACCAACCAAAAGAAACAGACTAGCAGAATGGATCAAGAAACAAAATCCAACCATATGCTGTTTACAGGAAACCCATCTAACCCAGAAGGATACTCACAGACTGAAAGTCAAAGGATGGAAAACAATTCTTCATGCAGCAGGAATCCAAAAAAAGGCAGGAGTAGCCATTCTGTTTGCAGACAACGTGAACTTTAAACCAACAATGACCATAAAGGATAAAGAAGGTCACTACATACCCGTAAGGGGAAAACTCCAAGAGGAAGAGATAACTATCTTAAATACATACGCACCAAACTCCAGAGCGCCCAGTTATATAAAACAATTATTAACAGAAATGAAAACTCAAATTATCAGTAACACAATTGTAACAGGAGACCTTAATACGCCATTGACACCAAGGGACAGATCGACCAGACAGAAAATGAGTAAAGAAATAACAGAACTGAATCATACCTGTGAACAAATGGGCTTGATAGGCATATACAGAATGTTCCACCCAACAACATCAGAATACACATTCTTCTCAGCAGTACATGGATCATTTTCTAAAATAGACCATATATTAGCTCACAGAACATATTTAAACAAGTGCAAAAGAGCTGAAATCATCCCTTGCATGTTATCGGATCACAGCGCTCTGAAATTAGAAATTAATGATAAAAGATACTGCAAAAATCCCACAAACACATGGAAACTGAGTAACACACTCTTGAATAAGCAGTGGGTCACAAAAGAAATTAAAGAAGAAATCAAACAATACCTAAAAGAAAATGAAAATGCAGATACAACTTAACGGAATCTGTGGGATGCAATGAAAGCCGTCCTGAGAGGAAAATTTATTGCACTGAGTTCCCACATCAGGAAAACAGAACGAATACAAATAAATAACTTGATGCTACACCTCAAACAGCTAGAAAAAGAAGAGCAAGTCAAGCCCAAAGCCAAAAGAAGAGAGGAAATTATAAAAATCAGAGCAGAAATCAATGCAATAGAGACTAAGAAAACAATCCAAAGGATCAACAAATCAAAGAGTTGGTTCTTTGAAAGAATAAATAAAATCGATAAGCCCCTAGCCAACCTTATTAAAAAAAGGGAAGAAAAAGCTCAAATTCATGCAATAAGAAATGAAAAAGGAGACGTCAGTACAGACCCAATAGAAATACAGAAGATCATCAACACCTATTTCGAAAACTTCTACTCTCAAAAGTTTGATAACACAGAAGAAATAGACAGATTCTTAGAAGCATATGAAGTGCCAAAGCTAGATCAAGAGGATGTAAAATTGTTGAATAACCCAATCTCGGTTACTGAAATTGAAAATGTAATTAAGTCCTTACCCACCAAGAAGAGCCCAGGCCCAGATGGATTCACTGCAGAATTCTACAAGAAATACAAAGAAGACCTAATGCCGACACTCCTCAAACTATTCAATGAAATTGAACGGGAAGCAATCCTTCCTAAGTCATTCCTGGAAGCAAATATTACTCTAGTACCAAAACCTGAGAAAGACCCAAGTAAAAAAGAGAACTATAGACCGATCTCCCTAATGAACACAGATGCAAAAATCCTCAATAAAATATTGGCAAATAGGATCCAGCAAATCATCAAGAAGATTATACACCATGACCAAGTGGGATTCATCCCAGGAATGCAAGGATGGTTCAACATACGCAAATCAATAAACGTAATACGCCATATCAATAAAGCCAAAAATAAGAATCACATGATCATTTCTATAGATGCAGAAAAAGCCTTTGATAAGGTCCAACATTTATTCATGATAAAAACTCTACAGAAAATTGGAATAGATGGTCTTTACCTCAATATAATAAAGGCCGTTTATGACAAACCAACAGCCAGCATCATACTAAATGGCCAAAAATTGAAAGCCTTTACTTTAAAATCAGGCACAAGACAAGAATGTCCTTTATCACCACTCCTATTTAATATAGTACTGGAAGTACTAGCCAGAGCAATTAGGCAAGAAAGAGAAATAAAAGGGGTAAAGATAGGAGAAGAAGAAGTTAAGTTGTCATTGTTTGCAGATGACATGATACTCTACATAGAAGACCCCCTAAGCTCCATTGATAGACTCTTAGATACAATAAATAAATTCAGTAATGTGGCTGGATACAAAATAAATACTCAGAAATCAATAGCATTCCTATACACAACAACAAAATCACAGAGAGGGAAATAAGGGAAACTGGACTATTCACATTAGCAAGCAAAAAAATGAAATATTTAGGAATTACTCTTACGAAAGAAGTGAAAGACTTATACAGTGAAAACTATAATACACTGAAAAAGGAAATTGAAGATGATCTCAGAAAATGGAAAGACATCCCTTGCTCATGGATAGGAAGAACAAACATTGTGAAGATGGCCATTCTCCCAAAACTCTTATACAGATTCAATGCAATCCCAATAGAAATACCATCAACATACCTTATAGATCTAGAGAAATCACTCCTAAATTTCATCTGGAACCAGAAGAGACCTAGAATCGCAAAAGCAATTCTAAGCAGCAAAGACAAAGCCGGAGGCATCACAATCCCCGACTTGAAATTATACTACAAAGCAACAGTAGTAAAATCAACATGGTATTGGAATCAAAACAGAGCTGAAGATCAATGGAATAGATTAGAAGATACAACCACAACTACAAACACACTCAACCACCTTATCTTTGATAAAGGAGCCAAGCAGGTTCACTGGAAGAACGACAGTCTCTTTAATAAATGGTGCTGGAAAAACTGGCTCTCCATTTGCCGAAAACTAAAGCTAGAACCATGTCTATCATCATGTACTAAATTAAAATCTAAATGGGTCAAAGATCTGAATATTAAAATAGAAACGCTAAATCTATTGGAAGACAAATTGGGTAGAAACCTTGGAGACATAGGAGTAGGTAGAGAATTCATGAACAGGACTCAGACTGCACGGGAAATACTTCCCAGAATCAATAACTGGGACCACTTCTTATTAAAAAGTTTCTGCATGTCAAAAGAAATCTCCAGCATAGTGAAAAGAAAACCCACAAACTGGGAAAAGATTTTAGTGAACTCTCTCTCAGACAAGGGACTCTTGTCTAAAACATATAAAGAATTAAAAAAACTCAGACCTCCAAAATTCAAAGATCCAATCCAAAAATGGGCATCTGAGATGAATACGCAATTCTCAGATGAAGAAATGCAAATGGCAAATAAATACATGAAAAAATGCTCATCATCATTGGTCATTAGAGAAATGCAAATTAAAACCACACTGAGATACCATCTCACTCCTGAAAGAATGGCCAGGATCAAGAAAACCAACAACAACAAATGCTGGAGAGGCTGTGGGGAAAAAGGAACTCTCCTGTACTGTTGGTGGGAGTGTAGACTGGTACAGCCTTTGTGGAGGTCTGTCTGGAGGTTTCTCAAAAAGTTGGGATTGGAAATCCCATTTATTCCAGCTATTCCACTTCTAGGTATATTCCCAGAAGAACTGAAAGCATCATACCACAGTGATATATGTGCACCTATGTTTATAGCAGCACAATTTGTAATCACCAGATCTTGAAAACAACCCAAGTGTCCATCAACTGAGGAATGGATAAAAAAGTTGTGGTATTTCTATACAATGGAGTATTATTCAGCTATAAAGAAGGATCACATTGAGATATTTATCAATAAAGGGGCGCAGCTTGAGACCATACTCATAAGTGAAATAAATCAATCTAGCATGTATGAATACCGAATAGTTTCCCTAATGTAAGTAATGATTCAAATATATAAAAATATGTGATAATCATGATTCCCCATTATGTGGCCTTGAAGCCTTATAAAATTTTCACTTATTAATTAGAAAGGCTTTATTCTGGGCTTCTTGATATGGAAATATTTGAAGCTATAGTATATGAAGTTTTATCCAAATATTTTAAAGAAAAAGACAGACACTATGGTAACTACTATTCTTTAAAAAAATTATTTAGCTATTTCTTATGTTTATTTTAATTAAGGGAAAAATTTTAAAAATTAGGATATATAATAGTAACTCTTTTCGATCTCCTATTAACTTGTTTTGAAGTCCTGTAATACTCCCACTATCTTGTTTTGACTGATTAGACTCTGTTCCATTCTGTGCGATAGTAGCAAGTCTGAGGGTATAGGCAACTAATTTGAAGGCAATAAGATTCACTAAGATGCCCATTCTGGTTTGACTATTGTCTCCATTGGAAGTCCTGTAATGTTCACAATGCCTAAGTTTTATTGGTCTTGTTCTCTACTGTTTTGTCCAACTTTATAATATCTAATGAGATAGACAATTCCTTTTAAGGAAACAAGAGACAACGTTGATAACCATTGTTAATAACCTTGTACTCTATTCTACATCATGTGCTATGTCTATCCTTGGTTTTGACTTACAGCTTTGTTTTGCCATATTTGACTTTATTCTCTCCCCCCCCAAAAGTAATAAGCACTAAGGAGTAATAAAATCCAAAATGTGTAAATTTTGTTGTAGAAAAGAGAGGGGAAAAAAAAAAAAGAAAAAGAGCTCTAACGGATATAACAGCAAGTGTGTTTAGGGGTGTTAAATAGCTGACTATATTAATGTTTTTGGATCATTGAACACAGCTGTTTGCAGTCTCTCTGTTTGAATGTCTACTTTGTATTCTTTGATACTGTGATTTGAGCAACTATTTCCAAGATGATAATATGTAATCTATTAACAGGTGATTTCTTACTGTTATGTTTTTTTTTTTGTAGTTCTGTATTATGTGTAACCTTACACTGCTTTGTTTTGTTTTGTGTTTTTCTCTTTTTCCTCTTAAAAAAAAATCTTGCCTCATCAGCATAACCTGGTGCTCATGGCGAGCAGCCTCCATCTCCATCTCTAGCTTCTCACGAGCTTCCTTGATATTGCAGTCCACTTGATCCTGCTGCTGCTTCTCCATCTCAGTAAGTGCCTTCCAGCGCATGGCATACTCCTATTCCAAGGAGCCGGGTTGTGCAAATCTAGGTGGCTGCTCTCGCTCCTTGTGAAATTGTTGGCTCTTTATAACAAGTTTTTCTGGAAGTCCTTCTTCATCATCTAACTGGTCCACAGGCTCCACAGTCACAGGCCGAGGAAATGTGGTTAGCAGGAAAGATCCTTCACTGCATCTGTCAAGAGCTTTCCGTGCAGCTGGCTTCCCTGAGAACTCAACAATGCCTTTTCCCGAGGGCCTTCCTCGATCATCCACAATAACTACAGCCCTTTCCACCTGGCCAAACACAGAAAAGGCTTCTTCCAGTAGCTCATTGGACACATACTGAGGAAGGTATCGGACTGCAAGGGATGCACGATGGCAGGCAAAGCACACACACAGTTGTTTTCCACGGAGGGGCATATTATCGAGCTCCACTTTGGCAATCTCCACAAGGGTTCGTGTTTCCAAGCGGATAAAGCCAAAGCCTTTATCCTTATGAATGAAAACTTCTCCTGCTTTCCCATATTTTTCAAATAGTTTCCTCATTTCCTCCTCAGTGATATCCGGGGGAAGATTGCCCACAAAAAGACGGCTACGTTGGGTAAAAGTCTTCTCTCCTGGTTTCCTAAAATTCTTCAGGTCAATAGTCAAACCTTCATTTTGGCTGCTGGCCTGTTGCCCATTTGCAGGTATTGGTGGTGGTGGTGGCGGCTGCTGCTGCGGCTGTGACTGGTGGTGCTGCTGGTGGTGATGTTGATGATGCTTCCTGGAAGTATGGTTCTGCTTCTCCAAATTAAAAGTTTTATTGCTCTGCATTTTTACACCCTAATGCCGGCAATCTTCTCCTCAGAGTAATGGCGACGCTCAGAAAAAGCTTTTGATAAAGTCCAACGTTCATTCATGATAAAAACCCCAAAGAAAATTAGTCTAAAACCTTAAAGAAAATGTCATAAAATCTATTTAAAACAAATAGATAATACCATACTAAATGAACAAAAACTGATTTCTTTCACTCAAAATCAGGAGCAAGACAAGGATGTCCACTAGCACAACTTCTATTCAATATAGTTCTGGAAACATTACCCAGAGGTATCAGACAAGAGAGACAAAAGGAATAAAGATAGAAAAGCAAGAAATTAAATTATCATTATTTGAAAATAAAATGATACTCTACATAGAGGACCTAAAAATTCCACCAAAAGACTATTAGAGTTAATAAGCAAATTCAGCAGTGTAGCCGGGTACAAAGTCAACACTCAAAAATCAACAGCATTACTGTACACAAAAAACAAACTCACCGAGAGACAAATTAGGGAAATAACAACCTTCTCAGCAGCATCCAAAAAAGAGAAATAGTTAGGAATCAATTTAAAAAAGGATTTGAAAGATCTAAATATAGAAAATTATAGTACACTGAAAAAGGAAATTGAAGAGAATATTAGAAAATGAGAAGATATCCCTTGCTCTTGGATATAAAGAACCAACACTGTGAAAATGGCCATACTCCCAAAGCTGTTATATAGATTTAATTCAATCTTGATCAAGATATTATTACATACATCACAGATATACAGAAAATATTCCTAAAATTCATTTGGAAACAGAAGCTACCTGGAATAGCAAAGGCAGTCCTGGGAAAGAAAAGCAAGCCAGGAGGAATCCTAATCCTTGATTAAAAATATACTACAAAGCTAGAACTTAGCATGGTACTGGCAAAGAAAACAGACCTAAGGATCAGTGGGAAAGATTATTAGATGGAGACTCAACCACCTTATCTTTGATGAAGTGGCCAAACATGTCCTCTGGAAGAAAGATAGTCTCTTTAATAAATTGTGCTGAAAAATTGGCTTTCCATGTGCTGAAAACTAAAACTAGATCCATGTCTATCACCATGCAATAAAGTAAAAATGGATCAAAGATCTAAATATTAAAACAGAAGCACTAAATCTACTGGAAGAAAAGATAGGTAGAAATCTTGAAGATGTGAGGTAGGCAAAGAGTTCATGAGCAAAATACAAACTGCACAAAAATATTTCTTTTTTTTTTTTTTTTTTATCGGTACCAGGGATCGAACTCACAACTGCCTGCTTGCAAGGCAGGCACTTATGCCGCTGAGCTAAATCTCCAGCCTCATTTCTTTTTTCTTTCTTTTTTTCAGAAAATATTTCAAAAAATCAACAACTGTGATCTCATCTTATTAAAAAGTTGTTGCACATCAAAAGAAATCACCAACAGAATGAAAAGACCAACCATAGATTGGGAAAAAAAATTTAGCCAACTTTCCCTTAGACAAATAATTTATATCTAGAACATACAAAGAATTGAAAAAAGGCCCCCAGACTTAAATCCAAAAAAAGGTCGTCTGAGATGAGCACACAAATGTCAGATGAAGAAATGAAAACGGCAAAGAAATATATGAAAAGATGTTCAACATCTTTGGTCCCTGGAGAAATGCACATTAAAACAACACTGAGATATCAACTCATTCCAGAAAAATAGCTAACATCAAGCAATTACCAATAACAAATGCTAGTGGGGTTGTGAGGAAAAAGGAACCCTTCTGCATTGTACCAATAATACAACTATTGTGTAAATCAATGTGGAGATTCCTTGAAAAACTAGGATTAGAAGTTCATTTGACTCAGTTATTCCCTTCTGAGTATTTTTCCAGGAAAAACTGAAAACTGCAGTTTTTTTTTATCATACTGCAGTGATATATGATATATGTGCCTCCATATTCATAGCTGCACAATTTGTAACAGTGGAGTACTACCCAGCTACAAAGAAGGATAAACTTGAGGCTTTCAAAGATAAATGGATGCAACTAGAGATCATACTCACAAATGAAATAAATTAGAATCACATGCTTAAATATCCTATTGTCTCCCTAGTGTAAAAAGAGTAAATAATATATATATATATATGTGTGTGTGTGTAAATATATACAAGATAATAATTGTACTACTAATTTCTGTTCATCAAAAAGAACAATTGTGTTTTCCTTGTGTGCCTGATCACTTTTTCATGCCTAAATCTTGTAATGTAAACAGTTACTGTCAAGATAATGATATACAATATATTAACTAGTGTTAATTTCCTATTTCTGTTTTAATTCTGCATCATCTTCATCTTTTTTCTTCTTTTTTTAATTCTTTTTAAAATTAAAAATAAAAGAGAAATCCCTGGCTGGATGTGATTTGAATGCTATGTTGTAGCCAGGTGTAGCCAGAGAAAATCAGAGATAAAAGTCTCCAACATTAATCACCTGTGTGTCCTAAATATGCCAAAAAAAAAAAAAAAGGCAATCCGGATGTATCAAAGTTTCTTCTGTGTGGCATGAATTACACTTTTTTTTAAAAAAAAGAACAACAGTAATAATAATAATAATCAACAAATTCTATATTTTTCTGTACTTTCCAAGGTTCTCTATCTTGCCTGATCCATTGTTACTTAACTATACTCTTGATCAAACAGCTCCATTCTTTTTTAGTTCTGTGCAAGCTTTGGTATGTTTTACCCACACTAGAATGAGTTGGTTTGGTTCCTAACAACAAAGAGTAGCTCTGGGACTCCTGCAGTTGCTCATCATTTTCTTCATATCCACATATTCAAAATCTTATTGCTTGCCATGTCTGGCACTAGTACTCTCTCCTTATAGGTCTCTCACAATCTCTCCTATTCCTTTCTAACCCACTCTTACAATGTCTGTATCTCCCCTCCAAAACCTCATGCAGTCCTGGGGAATGGGTTTTTCAAGGGTGGCTGGATCTAGAGTTTATGATTGGTTCATTGTCTAGTGCTGAGATTGGAGCTATGAATGCTGCGTTCTCCTTAGGCAGGTACCCTGCATACAGTATAAGGAGGAAAAGAGGCTTGCTCCTCGCCTTTTGCTCTTGATGCTTTTGGTGTCTTCACCATGAACAGCTGCCCCTCTTCCATGTCATTCTGCCTTGGAACCAGATAGTTATGGACAGAAACCTCTACAAACTGTGAGCTAAATAAAACTTTCCCTCTTTAACTGGGCATCAGGTATTTTGCTCCAGAAACAAAAAAAAAAAATAAACTAAGACACTCAGTATCTACTTTTTTATTAGACTCGATTTCTTTTTCAAAGGCAAAATAAAAGTTCAAGGCTTCAGCTGTACCTCTCCTGTTATATTCTCAAAAGAGTTAAAATCATCATACTATAGTTATACACACATATGCATGTTAAGAGCAGTACAACTCGAAATAGCTAAGGTCTGAAAAGAGCCTTGATACTCATCAGTGAAAGAATGGAAAGTGATATGTATATGCAATGGAATATTATTCAGCCATAAATAAGAGTTGAAATTACGTCATTTCCAGAAAAATGAACAGACTACGTGACTCTAACGTTAAGTGAAATAAGTCAGACACATAAAACTTCACCACTGGATACATTAGACTTTGGGGGATATTTCAGATCTAAACCACCACATTCATATAGGAGAAACAGATCTGAAATGTCTCCCCAAAGTCTCATGTATTCAGAGGTTGAGCTTTAGGAAAGTGATTGGGTTATGGGGTACTGGGCTCATCACTGTGGTTGGATAGGATGTTGAGTAGTGGGACCTAATCAGAACAGGCAGGTCACTGCGAGTATGACTTCATTTCTCTTTCTGTTCCTGGCCACCATGACATAAATAGCTTCTCTCTGCCTGGGTTCTTCTATTATGTCACTCAGTATTTGATGCTGCCAATCATGGACTAAAACTTATAAAACTACAAATCAAAATAACCTCTTCTTCCTTTAAATTGTAGGGGTCAAGTATTACACCTCAGTCATGAGAAAGTGGCTAAGAGATTTTGGTACCAAAGAATTGAAGCAGATGTTGGACTATACTCAATCATGTAGTTTAGAAGTCATGGAAATTGACCTGCAAGAGGTGCCTGGAAATCTCTGCAGATCCTTGCTAAAGAAGCCCTAGCATACTGTAATCAAAGCTTCATGGAAATTTCTGATTGCACCTCAGAATGCTAGAATACTGGTAAGAATGCAGACAGTAAAAGACAGGCTCAAGAGTTTTCACTTGGGAACAAGGGCCATATGTGTTATGCTCTGACAGAAAATTTGTTTACATTTTGCCCCAAGACTTTGTAAGAATTTTATATTAAAGGTCACAGACTGATTAATTGGACTGAAGAAATTTTCAAAGCAGTCCAATATTCAGGCTTTGGCATGGATACAGCTGGCAGGCTCACACTGAAAAACAAGACCAAAAAGCCTATTTAAAATTTTTTTGGTTTCACCAGAAAGGAAGTACATATAAATTTAAAGCAGAGGAGAGTTTGATTGCTGAAAAAATAGCATTAAAAAATAAGCCAAATACATTGAATCTGAACAATAGGGCATATGCCTTGAGACATATCAGAAATCAGCAAAGCTCCATCCTTCGTAGGTTCAAGGGTTCAAAGCTGAAAATCTTTCATTTGAGAAGAGAACTTCTAGTCTTGCTCCTGTGGGGGCCTAACAAATTGTTTTTTCTTGATTCTGTTCATCACCATCCAGGCACTCAGAAGCCTCTGCAGCTGTGGTCCACGGGACCTGGTTACTGCAGGAACTGGCAGCAGACTTTGGTTCATGCACATGGTACTGTTTTTACAGATATGCAGAATACATGAGTTGTGGAGTTATGAAGGTGTCCAGCAAGATTTCAGAAGAAGGACTGGGAGGCCAGACAGTGTGCATCTGAGAAGGCAGCACGTACAGCTGCGAGAGTGAAGCTAAAAGTGCGGTGACACTCTAATAAATTGGAGAAGCCAGCAACATGGAATGTCTGCTGAGGAAGGTGTAGGCAGGAGTGGAATAATCCAAGAAGAGATTTCCTGGGGGCTGCG